ATGACTGGAGGCTGAGTTTAAAACATTTAATTTGTGCAGGAAACATCCTCCTAAAATTTCAGCTTTCTAGCTTTTTTGGTTGCCGAGTTAGCATTTTTTTCGACAAAATTTTCGCGTCCGTGCATGCGAACTGCGCACAACTAAGGGCTGAATTTGAAGTGTTTAGCTCATACATACATAGGGATTATCTCTGTGATGTCTCAGTTCTCTATCCTTTCTGGTTCCCGGGATCGCTTTCCCGCCAAAAAATTTTGCATATTTTTTTTGAAAAGTCGGTGCGCGGTACTCGGACGTACGCGGGCGATTGTACTAAAACGGGAGTGTCACAGATGATGTGGGCACATATTCCAAAGTTTCAACCTTCTAGCTTTTCTGGTTCTCGAGTTGAAAGTGGGTGACAAGAAGTGCGAATACACGCACACAGACAGTTTCTTGCCAACATGCGTTTTTGCATTTGCATATTTGCAAAAATGCACAAGAACTGAATACTTGACATATCTGTGCTACTGATAGAAGCATGATTTCGCGTGGCGATCAGTGCAGGAGGAGGGAGCTACAAAGTTCTAACTTCTAATTGCAAGTATGAATAAACGATGTGTGCGACCGACTTCACATATACTTTATCTTCCGGCTCAGTGAAAAAACATACAAAGTTCTAAACCCATCTGTTTTGATTTCACGTATTGGGCAAAGTGAAATAACATGAGCTTATTCAGTTGTGGTGTACCCATTTTTTCAAGGAATACTAAGAATTATTCGGACTTTTTTCAGGTTGTAAATAAAAACCGAATCTTGAAATTTTGTAGGTTATGGTAACATTGTCCCAACAACAGATGCAAGCAAACTTTTTTGCATGCTTTATACGCTGGTAGGTGTACCGCTGCTGTTTTTATCGCTAGCAAATATAGGACAGTTTTTCGCTGAAGGCTATTGGATTTTTCTGGCATCTCTCTCCAGAACACAGGTATTTTTCGACTCGTGATTTTAGCAGTTATTATTATTTTATGCTATGCGGCACACTCGATACTGTTAAAGAATTGATGCTCAGTGTGCATTATTAAAAAGTTAAGCGCCACAAATACCAAGACCACTCGAGTTATTTGTATGGGGTATCCTGTGTTAGTGATGTTACTGGAAGCATGTTCCTATACGGTCGCAAGTACTACGCCAAATCTTTCAGTTCTGGGCTGTAGGGCCTCAGGTGGCACTAATCACCTATCCGATGTATGGCCTCACCTTCTTCAGAATCGCCCTATTGACGGTTTATTTCCACCCAGGTACCACTCACTGATACGCGACTTCCAATGGTTGACAACAAAACTAGCAGTGACCCGCATCCTCCAGCGGACCTCATTTTCTTTCACAGTTATGACTATAGCTTACACAGGCAAAATTTATAAATATCTTAGCGTCTGATATTTTAAATTATCAAAAGTCGAAAAATCAAAAACCCTTCCTTAACCGCTGTCAGTGAA